ATAAATAAATAAATAGCATACAGAACTGTTGACCAGAGACGGTCATTGTTTTACTACAGTAGTCAAGATGGCTGGGATATTCTGGAAAGTAACTTTTCCTATCTGTACTGATGGCTATGCATGGGGGATACTGTCTGCTGATGAAGTATGGTTTGTCCCACATCTCACTGTACTTAAAAACATAACGTAAGAAGAGCGCTGCTGGATCAGGCCAAGGGCCCATTTAGTCCAGCTTGCTGTATCTCACAATGGCCCCACCAGATGCCTCTGGGAGCACACAAGACAACTAGATACCTGGTTCTTGATACCTCTCACCTGCATCTGGCATTTGGAGGTACCTTCCTTTGAAGCCTGGAGATTATACATCCCCATCATGGCTTGCAACCTGCAATGCACTTTTCCTCCTGGAATCTGTCCAATCCCCTTTTAAAGGCATCTAGACCAGATGCCATCATCACATCCTGTGGCAAAGAGTTCCACAGACTAACAACATGCTGAATAAAGAAATATTTTCTTTCATCTGTTCTCACTCTCCCAACACTCAATTCGAGTGGATGTCCCCTGGTTCTAGTATTGCGTGAGAAGGAAAAGAGCTTCCCTCTATCCACTTTATCCACCCCCTGCATAATTTTATATGTCTCAATCATGTCCCCCCTCAGGCGCCTTTTCTCTAGACTAAAGAGCCCCAAACACTGTAGCCTTTCCTCATAAGGGAGGTGGCCCAACCCAAGAATCATTTTAGTCGCTCTCTTCTGCACCTTTTCCTGTTCCACAATGTCTTTTTTGAGGTGCGGCAACCAGAACTGTACGCAATACTTCAGTTCTTTTCAAACATACATTCCACTTCACTCACTTCCTGTTTCATACTGAAGTTTGCTTTGTTTCCACTTGAATCATGCCTTTGCTTTAATTTTGTATTGTATCTTGTTATCTCTCTGTTCCAAACTTCACACTGCGCCACAAGTCTGCTGGTGCAAGATAAAGAAGTTAGGAGGGAAGAGGAAGTAATTCTACTTATTGTCTGGTTTAGGAATAGTAACATTTATAAAAGGAAGACAGTAGTCATAGCACTGGTGTTCTTAAGCTGCAGATGTCTTCAGTCTTTGTAGGGAAAAAATCAAAATGCAGGTGTCAAAACAACATAAAATACGTTGTCTAGGTTTCAAAAGTTTCTAGTGATGATTAACACAACTGTTAAATGAATTGATTGTTTCATTTATGGCTTGGGAAAAGGAATTCCTCCCCACAGGCACTAATTAACCTCGATAGCCAATACATGTTTTAATCCTAATGAGGGGAAAATGAAATGTGGACTTTAGATTTCAGCCCACCAACTGTTTTAAAGTTCAGGTACAGGCCATCGAATAAAATGGTGGTTCGTGTTATTCAAGCAGCAGGGGAGAGCAAGTGCCACTTGCCAAACTGATTATCTTCCATACTTGCAGACTCATCCTGATCAATTGTTTTGTGCACCAAAGGGCATGAAAGCAATCAAATCATTCTGTCACCCAGATACATCATTTTATTTTTAAAAAATGACATATGACCTTTGTTCTCCTGAGAAAGAAAGAAGAAACCTATAAAATCAAATGTACTCAAAAGAGTAAAATAATAACAGAATATCTAAACTGGGAAAACTAAATTTGAAGTTAAATGCAATGATTAATTGCCGCTAAGGCAGAAGTCGTTATCATCATCATCATCATGTGCCATAAAGTCAATTCTGACTTTGGAGATTATTAAATTGTTAATAATCTTTAATATTTTTTTTGGTTTTGTTTTTACACTGGCAAGCTCTTCAGTTACATCCAGCCCTATAAGTACAGTGATGGGCTTATTCATTAGAAAGAGCAAGCCAAACTCCTAGTAGTTAATATCTAAAGAGTTAAAATCTAGAGGTAGACACAGATGTGACTTGGCATCCAGTCCTGTTCTGAACACCTGTACTTTATCCATTTGACTGGCGATACAATTCTGTTAGTTCCTCTCTCACTCATTTTATTTCCACTGAGAAGTCATTTGAAAAGTATCAAATTCCCAACTTCATCCTTCAGAAAGTAGTGGAAAAACTGGTTCTTCCCATGATAGTTGGCCTGGCAACCTGATAAAATCTGCTAAAAGTTGATCAGGTTTAAAACTTTCAGTGCTGGCACAAGAGCTTTTTCAGTGGCCACTACCACGCTCAGAGGCCCTCTAGAGTCCCAGTTGCCCTTCTGCTAGTAAAGGTAAAGGTTCCCCTTGACAATTTTTGTCCAGTCGTGTTCAACTCTAGGGGGCAGTGCTCATCCCCGTTTCCAAGCCATAGAGCCAGTGTTTTGTCTGAAGACAATCTTCCGTGGTCACATGGCCAGTGCGACTTAGACACGGAACGCTGTTACCTTCCCACCGAGGTGGTCCCTATTTATCTACTCGCATTTGCATGCTTTCGAACCACTAGGTTGGCGGGAGCCGGGACAAAGCTATGGGAGCTCACTCCATCGCGTGGATTCGATCTTACGACTGCTTGGTCTTCTGACCCTGCAGCACAGGCTTCTGCGGTTTAGCCCGTAGCGCCACCACGTCCCCTTCTGCTAGTAGTCAGGGATAATTTACTTGAGCAGACTTTTGGCAATTGACCAGGGCTCCATTTCTCTAAGTGAGGTGGGATTCAATTGTGGTTTCCATTGTTTGAAATTGTGCTTTTAATTTAACTCTATTTAAATGATTCATTTTGGTTTCTATTTTCATTGTATTGTTTAATCTAACACTGTTGCGTGTCCCTTTTCTAAGAGAAAGGGGAATGTGAAGCCAACAAATAAATGAAATGATCACCTCATATTCATGCTTAAAGTATCTAAACCTATATTTAGTTTAGCTGTATAACTGTAATTGCAACTCTGGGTTGTCTTCTTGTCTCTCCATCCTACCTTATAATGTCCCGTCTAAAAGAGGAGTAGACAGGCCTGGGGACCAGTTTTCTGTCCTGGGGTGATTCACAGACAACTAAAAACTAAAACCACCATCATCTTATCTTTGAATGGCCTTTGACCGGACACCCCTTTAAGCCTTCTGAAGACTTGCCTCTAACAGCCCTTCAGGTGCAGGATTGCCCTCTGCAACATATTATCTGTGGCCACCTATGCAGAGCTACAGGGGGATTTTGCAAATGATGACATAGAAAGCCCAGCTATACACACACTGAATGTTTGTCCTGTGCTTTTGCTGCAGAGATGCAAAGAAGGTTTTTTCCGAACTTCGTCTGGAGAATGCAGTCCTTGTAACTGCAACAACAACGCAGCCAATTGTCTTGATGGATCTGGCGTATGTTTGGTAGGTGATCTCTTCTGTTTACTAAAACTGGGAAAGCAACCCTCCTCTTATCTTGTGAAATGTCGAGAGCCCTTCAGCTGTTGTGTGTCATAGACGTGTAACAAAACTTTATCAATTACCTTTTCACATCATGTTATCTATTATCTATGTTATCTAACTAGCTGTGGGTAGCTGAGACTGATGAGCTGTCTCGGTTGCATGCCTGGTCACATGCTCCATGCAGATGTGCCCTGGGATCTTGCCATTTAGCCATGGCAAGGTATGTAAACCTGAAGCAAACAAGACAATTACAGCTGTTACTTCATTGTTAAAAATAATACTAACTCTAAATGGGAAATATGAATCTATGTATGATGTAAAAGTCTAATAACTTTCTAGATGTGCATAGTTGATAGATCATAATGATGTAGGGGGCTTTGCCTTGCATGTACATCAATTGTTGGATGTATTAAATGCTTGAACACTTGATTAAATGTAAACTCTTGCTCAATGTTTAATATACAGGGCATTATACATTACAAGCAAAGACAGCAATCAGTGAATTCTTAGCTGTCCAAAAGCTTTAGTGCAAATTACAGAGACCCTAATTGCTTCACTTCCCGTCTCCCCACCAAAATCAATTAATTGACTGAGTCTGACACACTGGTAACATTCACAGGAATGAGAATGACTTGTTTTCAGTTCTGATCTAATGTTATGACTTTAAAAAAAGGTGAAAGCATATTTTGTGTTTCAAAGAAAGGATCAGCTTTCTATTTGATAGTATTGGAGGTGGGAATCCCTAACAAGTCCATGTAATTGTAACCTGAGTCCCTGAAAATAAAGATTTCTCTTACTTCGTTTGACACAGGTTTGACAATTATTCCACAAAAGGGGGGTGGGGGACCTACAGATGGGAGGGGGAAATGTGGGCTAATGTACATTGATGTTTACAGTATTCATTAGTCAACATAAAATAATGTAAATCTGACTGTTCCAAGCCCAGAGTATTTACTGTATTAGTTGTCACCATAATCGCCCCCTGTGTTAAAATAGGTACCTGCTGAAAAACATGCTTAGAAATCCATGTGTTTATATCAAATATATTTATAGTATGAAGAAATAGTTTTAAAATGTGTAGTTCTTTATGTATTTATAGTTGCATTTTTCGGGCAACTTTTTAAAAAAACAATGCCGAAAAGAATCAGAACATATATAATGAATTAACAGATGTTTAATTGACATGGACCAACATTTCTATTAGGCTTTAAATAAATCTAAGAGGAAAGTGCCTAATTTATGTTCTCAAGATTTTTCTAGTATTTCCCTCTTTACTGCTGCTGCATCAGATCCCCAGACTAGGAGATCCTTTTCCAACAAGAAAAAGAGAAAATTTAGCTTCATATGTTCACAGAGTCCATATGTATACATTCTTCCAGAAATCAGCCCAAACTAACAGGACTAGTACAGCAGGCTGGACGATGTCCTTCTTTTGATGTTTCTACCCTTGTGCACATTTCAGTCTTCTCTATACAGAGATATACAGAGTTTTGCCACTCCCTGTGCCTGAAGAAGCAGATTTTGATCCATGAAAGGTTACGCTAAAATGAATCTGGGAGTCTTTAAAATACAACATTATTTTTCCTTTTCTCCGCCCTTTTTTTTTCTTGCTTTTCTCCCCAGTCATTTTGCTAGTGTATAGAGTCCAGAGCTGGATAGCTCTGTGAGTTTGTTATCCAGCTGCAGAGCCAGAGTTTGGGAGTTCAATTCTCCACTCTGCCTCCAGGGAGAAGAGCCAGCCTCTGTGGCCTTGAGTGACAGTCCCAGGTTCCCTCCACAAGAAGGAAATGGTAAACCACTTCAGAGTATTCTCTACCTGAAAATTCCTGAAAAGGGTTGCCATAGGTCATAACTGACTTGATTGTACAGTTGTTATCCAGCTGCAGAGCCAGAGTTTGGGAGTTCAATTCTCCACTCTGCCTCCAGGGAGAAGAGCCAGCCTCTGTGGCCTTGAGTGACAGTCCCAGGTTCCCTCCACAAGAAGGAAATGGTAAACCACTTCAGAGTATTCTCTACCTGAAAATTCCTGAAAAGGGTTGCCATAGGTCATAACTGACTTGATTGTACAGGACCATTATTATTATTATTATTATTATTATTATTATTATTAGTAGTAGTAGTAGTAGTAGTAGTAGTAGTAGTAGTAGTAGAAGAAGAAGAAGAAGAAGAAGAAGAAGTAACAACAAGTTTTAACCAAAAAACTAAGCATCAGTTAAATATCAGTGTAATATGAATATTGTTCCAAATATTTATTTTATTTATTTATTTATTTATTGTATTTATACCCCGCCTATCTAGTCATTTCAACCACTCTAGGCGGCTTACAACATAAGGATAACAAGTTCTAAAAAATATATATAACAATTAATTAATTAAATAATTCTATAAGATGGGAAAGATAAAAATAAATCAAATAAAGAGAAAAAAAGGAAAGAGGACAGGAATTAACTGGAAGGGAAGGCCAGCCTATACATCCATGTTTTTAGTTAATTATTAATTAAATGATAATGAACATTATATAATTATTATTACATATTATTGTTGTTGACAATTTCTGTGTTTCTCACTGCACCAAGAACTGCCTATATTTGGCCTATAGGCAAAAAGTTCCCCTTCTGTGCTCTGTATACTTCGTTTCAATGTGCATGCACAGCATTAATGAATGTTGACATGGAACAAAACTCTAATAGGTTCTGTGGATGTATATACTTTTAAATAAACCTTATTCCTTTATTTGTTAAAAATCCATTCCTGGTCTGTGTGACTCCTTACAGGGAATGGTTGGTGGCAGCTTAGTGAAACTGTGGTATATCCCGGTAGGTCTGGGGTTGTCACAATTAGATATGGGGACGAATATAAAAACGAATCAGTTAAATATCCCTGATTTATCGGATAGTCATTGCTTCGTATCCTTGAGGTCCAGAGACCTCAACAAATACGAAGCAATGAATATAACCCTTTTACTGTATATTCGTCCCTTCATTCCCTATCTGCTTATGTCCTTGGGGGCATAAGCAGAGAGGGGTTTTCCTCTCAGGCAGCTTGCTAAAGCCTGCCCGAAGGGACTCCCATCCCTGGGGGCTGGGGGATGGCTTTGGTCCCCTTTCCTCCTCTTCCTATGCCAGAATGGCATAAGAAGAGGATGGAAGAGATCGAATAAGGATCAAAGGGATCCCCCAACCACTGCAGGATCATTTCGATCCCTCCTTTCCCTCCTCTTGCTATGCCATGCAGGGCATAGCAAGAGGAGGGAAAGGGGTAGGGGGAATGACCTGATAAACAACTAATTGATTTGTTGTTCATCAGGCCGCTGTGGGGGGGGGCAATTTGTGATGACCCACAAACCAAAATGAAGTACCATTTTGGCACTTCGTCTCCATCTCTAGTGCTGATAGAACAGAAACAGAGACTGAAATCAAGTTGAATGTTTATGCCAGCATAACGTCAGTGACGTAGATTTCTTATAGGAAATTGTCTCTAGCTAAGAAGCCAGGTTTGTATTTCCTGTTGTGCACGAAAGCACAGAACTACTATGTAGTTCCTGTTGTGCACCAAGGCATACAACTGCTAGTGGCAATTTGCTGCTGAGATTTATGCTGGTGGACTTATGCCGGCAGGTATAAATAGTAACATTCTGACCAGAAAGTGGAACTCATCCCATTTAAATGGCTAAAATGCCACGTGACAGATAATGCCTGCAAGAGTGTCCTTCTGAAAGGAAAACAATACCATGGGACCTTGTATCTGTGGGGAATCAGTTTTATGATCTACCATAGTTGCCTGAAACCGCATATACAAGGAAATCTTAAATAAAACATACAAGGGCTACATACAAACATACAAAGGCTATATTTTCTATAACAGTCTGACAAACCAGAATGTCAGAGATCATGAATATTTGAAATTTCTCTGAAATGACTGAGACAAGCTTCTCAGCATTGCTAAGCTGTGATTTTCCATAAGAGTACCTTGCAAAGAACGATGAATTACTTACACAAGTCCGCATCCTCTTTGAAATCAGTTGGTAATTGTAGGTTAGCCTACATGTCCATTAGTAAGCAGTTTGGGTTCTGAATAGAGATCAAGAAACTGATTCATTTATTTCAAGTGCACCCAGCTATGGACAGCTCAGAATACTAAGAACTTTGATGATAAAAGGCACAGAGACTGTATTAAATGAGTCTGAACTGAGGGCTTGTTTATAGTTACATTTGCCTTGCAATAAGCTCTGTTCTAAATGGAAGTGATTTAGAAATCATGTGGTGTCATGTCACATGGCATTTGGGTCGATGTGTGCATCCTCCTGGGAAAACTTCTAATCTGTCTTTAACCTGTGTTGTATCTTAGTTAAGGGCACTACACTGGCTTGTAGAGTTGTTACATTTGACGCTTTAACCTACACTCGCCCGCCCTGCCTTCATGCTGGCTACTCGCCCCTCCTTCTGTGATGAGGGGAGGGAGGGTCTGCTGGCAAAGCTGCTTCCCCTTTAGAAAGCTTGGCGGCTTCTGCCTCTTTAATAATGTTGAAGCAGTTGCCAGCTGCCCAGTTTCTCAAGCAACCCCACTGGTTTCTCCTGGGTTCTCCCTGCTCATTTTGAACTTTGCTCCATGAAAGGCTGCCTAAGGAGGGGAAATGGGGACAGAAAGGATAGGAGGTTTGAGCACACAAACTGCTTGCCGAAGAGGAAAAGAAACCTACAACAGGAGTGGGGGGTGGCTGTGAGAGAAGTATTGGCTGCATCCTTCCCTTCTCTCCACCTCACAGGGAGTAGCAGGAGCATTCTTAAAGGGACAAAGCAGCTAAAATTTCTAAAGGGATGAGCAGCTTTGCTGGCGGACCCTGGCTCTCCTGTCCCCATCCAGCCCTCCTTCCTTCCTACCATCTCTCCCACTGCCTTCATTGGCTACCTAAAGGTTCAGTATGCAGCAACAGAGGGGTGTACATATGCAGACACAATTGAAATAAATTGGGGTTTGCGTGCATTCTAAAATAAATCAACTCTCTGGCAGAACAGTATTCTAGGTCATTTTCCAACCAGAAAACACACTTCCCTGGTGAAATAATCCATGCTTCCATTTACATCATAGGGACACCTTATTTTAAATCATTTTTTAAAAAAAGTAGAATGCAGTACAACAGGTGGGATCAGTGATCCCACGGACAATAGTATTGTCTTTGGGATCAAGGTCTGACTGAAGATATTTGCCTTCAAAGATAGCTATGATCTTGTTGGCAGCTTTATCAACAAATTCTGGCAGGCCAACACTGTTGTGCAAAATTCTTGTCCAAAATATCATTTGCAAATCCTTTCCATCTAATCAGTGAATACCTGGAAGAGTTCGGTAACAGGCACTGGGCCTGCCTGTCCTGCTTGCCAAGAGCACTTGCTGAAATGACTTCTGCTAAAGTTGAATTAGAAGTTCCTTCCTTTACTTTTTTCTAATTATCTCCTTCTTCATTTTTTTTCACATTGCAGGATTGTCAAAGAAACACAGCTGGAGACCATTGTGAAAAATGTCCCGATGGCTATCTAGGAGATGTCACCAGGGGAGCACCCAGTTTTTGCCAGCCCTGCCCGTGCCCCTTGCCATTGGTTGCCAAGTAAATGCTTTTTAAAAAGAACTGTTCCTCCTGGTGCTAAGTCTATCTGTACCCAGATATTGTGAGATGCCCTGAGGGAGGGGGGAAATATTGACCAATTTCTCAAACACAGAACAAGATAATTTAAACTCTTCATTTTTTACAATCAGACTGTGAAAGTGTCCCTACTTTTTCTTACTGATTTATTCTCTCAGTCACTCCAGGGGCTCTGTCAAACAAGCCAGAAGGACTATATATTTTATTTTATCCAGGTTCTTTTTTTCTTTATACGTTTTGAACAATGTGATAATTTGCACAACCACATGGCTCTTAGCACTGCTAAATCTGACCCTGTTAGTATACATACTCTTGCCTGCTGATAGGTGAGCGCTGTAGGCACATTTAACAGAACTTCAAAACTTATATTTTTGGACAGAAACTATGGAACTCATGATGTAATGATAATTGCCAAGCTGGTTGGTTTTAAAGGGGGATTAACTACATTCATAAAGGACAGTGGCTACTAGTTAGGATAGCTATATATCACCTTCCAGCATCTGAGGCAGAGTGCATTTGTGTATCAGTTTCTGGGGAACGCAAGATGATGGTGTTCAGGTGGTGTCTTGTCTTTCTAGAGGTCTTCCTGTGTATAATGGCCAATGGTTGGCCATTGTAGGAACAGAAACTCAGTTAGGGGCTTCATTCTGATCCAGCAGATTAGATCTCTGCTTATGTCCTTAAGAAGGGTAAATTCCCAGAATTCCATGGCCAAGCTCTGATACTCAGGGTGTAAAATCTATACATTAGGCTGAGCAGTAGTAACATGAATTTGATACTCACCATGTGAAATGGAACGCTCTCACTCAAGACTGAAATGCTGGTGAAACACCATCAAATAAGGGGATAAACAATTTGAAATAAAAAGAATTAAGGTTGCACAGAGAGAAAGGGGAAAGTAAAGATGTAGCATCTCAACAGCCCAACAAGCCGAGTTGCAGCTAAACTGCCCCCACAGCAGAATTGTAGCATATTAACATATTTGTAGCCATAGGAAATCTTTTAAAGTAAATAGATGTTATATCTGGTTATCTAAATATTGTTTATGCTTGACACATTATAATTTAGAGATGTGATGATTCCACAGTAAGTGTCTCATTCTCAGTAATTTTGCACATTTTGCTATGCTAAGAGGTCCTGAGGAGATTCTCAATATGCCCATGAGCTTGCCCAGCATGCTCCAGGAAAAATCCTAGCTCTCAATATTTTTTATGTTCCTCAAAATGTGTTCTGAGCAGGGATATCATGCATAGCATTCTTAACAAAAAGTCTTCTTTTTTCCTTTTCCCATTTTTAGTTTTTATATGAAAACTCCTACCATAGGATGGGACACAACACACTGAGAAAGGGTAGCACACACTAAATAGAAAAGGTTTTACACTCTCTTGTGTTTGTCTTATTCTGTTCTCTTTCCTATAGCAGAGATAACCACTCCATCCTGTACAATGTAGTGCCCCGCCTGGAGCAAAATGGGCGACTGTATTGGTTGTGAAAACTTTGCATTGACCACTCTGGGGTTTTGTATCTGAAAGTGTGTGAGGAGGGGGGGAATAGAGGATACTTTCCCCCAGCATTCACTTTCTGCAGTGAACTGTTGGGAGAGCTGATCGCACTATCTGTGGCTGACTCCTAGGGACTGTGCCAGGGACGTTCCAGGCAAAGACATACACGCTCTGGATGTAGGTCAGGGTGAAAAGCTGCAGCATATGCAAAAGCCAGTTATTCCCAAAAAAAGAGGGAGGTGTGGTGGCTCAAGGCCTGCCTGGCCTGTTACTGTGACTCAGCAGAAGGCCTGCCATGTGGTGAGAGGCTAGCTGTGATTAAAACAAGCTCCACTGGAGCAAATCCAAATTCTTTTTAAATATTTCTTGTATTCCCAAACTGAACACTGGCATCAAGACCAGGAATTTTCCTTCCCACCATCTTGTACAGAAAGTGGGCTTTTTTTCTTTTGTGTGAGAAATAATGCAAGACACTTGAGGAGGCCCACCAAATGTCCCAGGGGGAAAAATACCAGGACAAGAATAGGGGAGAATTTTCTCTCCTTTCTCTCTCAGCTCTTCAGAAAGAAGAAGAAGCTGCAAGATTTGCATCCCTTGTTTAGTACTGTTTTTCACACAGGAACACACATTTATTGCCTTTTTAAAAAATTGTTCTAGCACTCCTAGTACTGGCACTATGGAACCAAACTTACGCTACTAGCTACGGTCAGGTAAACTTATCCCAATTCTTCTGTTCTCCACCTTTTTAAACAAAGATGCATCCCAGAGTATGCATCTTCCAAACAAAGGAAAATCATCAGAATTTCACTGTGTAGCATAACCACCAGCCATCTACAGGATTCTGGATGATGTGTGCGGCAGCACTGCAAGGGGACAATAGTCTTGCTTTGGGAAGAAAATAATCCCTTGTCTGGGATTAATTTGTCTCTCAGACAATAGCAACCGAGAATCCACTGCTACATGGTGCAACATCTGAATATTCCTGAATTGCAACATAAAATACGTGTTGCAATGTAACATCTATTGTAAATTCCATTGTGAGGTTAGCTTGAACCCATAAATAATTTTTATTTCCTAAACCAAAGAGTAGCAGAGATGACATTTTCTCTTGAGGGTTTCCTGCGGTTGGTTTTACTTAATTAATTACCTTTCGCTTCTAAGCCATTTATTGTAGCTTGTTTCTTCTGTTGAAGTACGCACTTTGCTGGCACTGCAAAACTATGTTGTAAAGGTCATATGCACAGGCTGCTGGGTTTTGTTTTGGTTTTTTTTTAAGTTCTTTTCCATTTCTCTCCCTTCGATAATACATTTCACCATGTAAATAGGTTCATAGTTCCCAAAGTACTTACCAAATCCTACCCTGCTATCCTGAAAACTGCTGATACAAAACCTATTGGGAATGTTTAATTTACACAGTTACTCTTGTGAAGAACCTCTCGAAACAAGGGTAAAACTATTATAGTTCATAGCACTGGCTGCCATAAAAACCTGTAGAATGGCACTTTCAAATTGCAATAGTTTTCCTTCCTGCAGAAGAGGCTGTTAGTTCTTGAGAACCCAACAGTTTTGAAGCTTTCCCTTTTTCCCATTAGTGTGAAGTAGAAGGATACAGAGCAGAAAAAATAACATGCTGTTATAATGATAGATTGATTACTGACAGATCAACACAGGATCCGCATCATATAGGAATGCTAGATACTGTACTAGAAATACACAGGAACATTCAGAAGACAAGAGCTGAGAGGTAGTGTTTGACCGGCCTTAGCTCCCCAGCACATGCCTACACTTTGGTTACAGTGACACCATCCCAAGTCTGGCTATTTATCTTTAGCTAGATTAGGAACTCCTTCCAAATGGACCTTTAGCAGTTAGTTCTCTTCCATACTCTAGCTGCTGGATCTGCATATACATCATTTTTGGAAAAGCTAACTTCCTGCATATCATGTATGCAGTGGCAGTGTTCTAGATTTAGTCATTCTCCTGGCCACAAAACTGCTAAAGGTCCAACCAAGGACATTTTGCTGCCTGAGGTAGCACAGCAAATAGTTCCTCACACACTTCCTATAACACCCCGAACTGCCCAAGTTATTTTGGTACATGAAACCTAAAACCCATAAGTACCTCTCCTCTACCCTAGCAGGAAAAATAAAATATATAATTTTATTTTATATATGAATTTAACTATCAATTTTCAACCCTTTTAAAATACTCAAAATCACTTCCCTGACATGGCAATTTGACTTTGCCTCATGGTGGGTCCAGTTCTACTTCTTTATTCCACCACTTCACAAAATACTCCATTGTAGCCACATGTGTCCCTTTCAAACAGGACAGCCAGTCTCAGATACAGTATACCATTTTGACAATGGGTGGCCCTTAGAAATGGGCATACTTTAGAACTTTTATATAGGTTAGCCTTCCAAAGTCTTTTTTTTTAAATGATCTTGAATACCAAGAGTCAACATCCTGACAGGTACAATGCTTGGTTTGTTTCTAGCAAAAGAGAGAGCCATAGGAATAACATAGCAAGGGAATTTATAAAGTCTGTAACAAAATATCTAAGATGGCTGATTCATTACATACACAGTTGTTCACTAGATTCATGTGTGGAGTTTTTATTTATTTTTGTTGTTGTTGTTGTTGTTTTTTGAGCCTGGCCATCTATATCTGATATCCTGGGAACTTAGAGAAGAGTTCCATTAAAGAGACCACCATTTGTTTAGAACAATTGAATTTCAACTGTTCCAAATTCTAGCAGATGTCATCAGGTTTTTGTTTTTAATTCTCTATGACCAATATTTTTAAGCAAACACTCCTACAAAGATTCAGAAACTTTTGGCTTCTTTTAATCCGTTCAGGAATTGGCTCATGTACAATGGGGGGGGGGTGGAATTACAAAGCTGAAACACTAATGAAACACTAATGAAACTGTGTTCTTAAAATGTTACAGAAGGACAATGTGTTTTTAAGGACAGTCTCAATGACCCTATAAATGTCATCAAATGAGCCAAATAAATGCACTTCTTTTAACTCTAGAGGATATTATATTAGAAATGCAGATGAAAAAACTGAAGATAATCCCGAATCATTGATGCTTCTTTTTTTAACGTTTTTTTTTTAAAAAGCAGCATACATATATTTTTTCTTGGTAGTCTGACACTTCCTACTTAATCACATCCTAAACTAAAATATTCCATTCTGTGGTGGTTTTGTACTAGCAGAAGGTCCTTGTGCCCAAGCATAGAAAGGCATGAAATTTTGGATGTGTTCCTTACCGTTGGCTTTCCATGCTATCATCCATACCAGTCCAAATGTCCCAACCTAGCCTCAGCAGCTGTTTTCAGGAAGTGCGTGAGGTCTGCAGTTGTGGGTAGAGGGGACTCATGGAAATCAGGGTCCTAGCTTTCCAAGACTGGAAATGCAAAGCCATCCTTGGATACAGCTTGCAGAGTCACATAAGGAGCTTTAACACTAGCATGTTTATTGTGGCAAACACCATCACAGGATAGGGACCAGTTTGTCCAGGCTAAACTATAAGAGGGAGCTACAGAATTGATTCTGTGTGATTGTCACAGCAAAAGTTTCTCTCATTTCCTAGATTTTGCAAATTAGCTTGCTTCCTTTTGTATTTCGTGATTAAAAAGGAAACATTCTTCTTGGAAAATCTGATTTCTCAGACACCAAAGGCTGTCAAAATCACATGTCTAAAATATTAATGTTACTTCAGCGTTAGTACCAGGTTATCTATATAATGCATAACTCGGTCCTTAGTTGCATGAATTGCACATTTTTACAGATAAATACATGTACCCTAAATATGAGCAGAGGGATTATGAAAAACAATGTTCTCCACCTCCTATCGTTGACTCTGTGGTGTGGTTTACAAGGTTTACTGTACCCACTGATGGCACGAATTAAAAACAGAGCAGCATCCAACAAACTGCTTCAGACCTACAGGAGCTGCTCCCACCAGCAAGTAGGAGCCCCCTCCCAACTGCTGCCAGCCCCCCTCTATTTCTTACTCTTTACAAAAGGCTGGGACCCCTTCTGGGGCAAGTTTCCAACACCACCAAAGATTGTGAGGTCAGGGGAGAGAATGGTATAGTCTGAACCACAGCTACTGGAGCTAGACACAGGGATCATTTAAACCCCCTGTTATAGCAGCTCCATTGACTGATGATCCATTCCCAGGCACAATTCAGAGTGCTGGCTTTAATCTATAAAGCCCCAAACAGCTTGGGTCCAAGTTATCTCAAGGACCACATCTCCTTTTATAAGCCTGCCTGGATATTAAGATTATCAGGAGACCCCTTTCTCTTGGTCCCACCACCCTCACAGGTGCACCTGGTGGGGACACAGGAGAGGACCTTCTCTATTGCTGCTTCCAGAATTTGGAACTCCCTCCCACAGAAGGCCAGGCTGGTCTCATCTTTGCTGTCCTTCTGAAAGCAGATCTAGACCTTTCTCTTCAAGCAAGCTTCCTCTTAGTCACTGGCTGCCTAAGGGGAGTTTTTAAATTGATTGTTGTCCCTTAATGCTTTGGCATCATTTTCACAGATGCTTTTGTTTATTGTTATTTAGGGTGGTACAGTATTTGTTTCATCTTCTTTAGTATCTGTATACTTACTGTATGTAAGTCACCTTGGGTCCTTTTTAAGGAGAAAGGCAGAGTAAAAATAATTTAAATAAATAAAGAGATCAAGGCACATGAAAAAAAACAGCGAGAAAGGAATCAGTAAGATCCTGGCTTACCCTGCTGCATTTCACTCATTAGGAGAGCATAAAATAGTGCCAAGAACATGAATTCTCAAGTTGAAAGTTGAATGTACCTATCATCACTAATCATGGCTTTTCAATGCAATTTCAGTTTTGCAGTCTCCTGTTACAGAAAAAATGGACTGGTGCGCTGTATGTGCAAAGAAAATTATGCAGGTCCAAATTGTGAAAGGTAAGTATAGTTTCACATGCAGATTTTAAGAATATTGGAATATCATGTCATTTATTTTTACCATATAGTCTATATTTGATTTAACCAGCACCATGTTTTAAATTCATGAGAGCCAGTGTGGTGTAATGGTTTGAGTGTTCAACCAGGATTGAAAAAGCTGGTTTCAAACCCCTTCTGGCCCACAGAAACTCACTGTGGATGTGTACCAATGGTAAATCACTCCTTGAACATCTTGCATACCTCAGAAATCCCATTTCTGTGTCATCTTAAGTCAAAAGCAGCTTGATGGCACTTTACACATTTTAAATTCACCCCACCTTTACATTGAGAAGGAAAAAAGCATATGTCAGAAAAGATTAGAAAAGGTCATGTGGTCCTTACATAATACAAATGCAAGAGCAGGTCATACCTTTATTAAACAACTAAAATCTGAACAGCGAGCTTTCTACGTGAATTCATCTTCCTCAGTCTGTACACTGAGAATTTGTGGATAGTGCAAGAAAAAATGTATATGAGAGTCCGAAAAATCCATGGCAAATGATTATTCCAGATCTGCTTCTTAAGGTGAGTTGAAATGCAAGCAGCAAATGCCATTGAAAAGGTGGTTTAAAACTCCACCCCAGATACAGTAGTTGGCTAAATTTCTCTTCCCAACACTTCAAACAAAGGACTACTTAATAATAATCTGCATCTTCCCACCACCACCACCCATTGCCGCTTTTTGGAATTCAAGGTTCTTATTTATCCAGTGAAAAGGTAGTACAGAAAAATAATAAACCTCCATCAAAGAACTAGGATTAAAATTTAGTCCACCCACAAGGAGAAGCCAATTGAAGTCAAATTAATAGTATTACCTGATGGATGCAAGCAGATGTTTTCTTCAGCTTGCAGTCCTGTTCAGCTGATGTTAAGAGATAATGTTGTCTTCTAGATCGTGTTCTGGGCAGCTATTTAGGGATTGTTCCAGAGTCTGGGGGGGGGGGGATAGAGAAGGCCTTGTAGCCCTTACATAATACAAATGCAAGAACTTGTGATACCTTTATTACACCACTAAAAAAATAAAACAGCTAGCTTTCAATGTTTATCTTCTTCAGGCTGTGTACCACATTTTTGTGGATAGTGCAGAAAAAAATCTATATGAGAGTCCCAAAAAGTCATGGCAGATAATTGTACCAGATCTGCGTCATAAACATGGGTGTGACTCTGTTCAACCATGTATCATGTTTCCCCTTATATAAGACAGGGTCTTATATAAATTTTTGCTCCAAAAAACGCATTAGGGCTTATTTTCAGGGGATGTTTGTTGTTGTTTTCATGTACAACAATCAACATTTATTCAAATACAGTCATGTCATCTTCTTCTGGTTGCTGCACAATGCTGCACAATGGTGGAGGACGAGGTTTCACTTAACTGGGCCTTTCTTTTGGGGTAGGGCTTATATTGTGAGCATCCTGAAAAATCATACTAGGGCTTATTTTCAGGTTAGGTCTTATTTTCGGGGAAACAGAGTATTTCTACAATCTCCAGTTTGTTTTCTACAATATCTGCCATCAGTGACAGTGACAGTCCCATATGTACTGGGAACCCTGAAAGGGTGTTATTGTCTGAAAGCTGTTTGAATTACACTTCAGACATGTACTACTTCTGAAAGCAAGTATTTTCTTTAGAGAGAGATTTTCAGCCCTTTCTGCAACTGTCCAAATTAGTCAGAAATGTGCCTGATTAGAATAAGTGCTGTTAGCACCCATTGGGAATTCAAGAATACAATTGACACATTGCTTTTGAACCTTGAAGAGGCCATCTTGTTTTCCTACAAAATATTAATTTGTTCTTTTGATCTAGCACACAATGACTTAGAAGCTTTTCAGTAATTGAAATCACTCATTTCAATTGTTGCAGTAAGAGTGGGTACAGGGAAAAAAATTATATAGAAAAATGTAACATTTGCTTGGCATTGCTTTTATTTTGGAATTATGAGAATGAGGTTGGGATTATAGCTGCAGTTGTAAGGTCTCTAGAATGAAACTGCTTTCAGGGTAAAGTATAAATATAAATATTTCCAAACATACATAAAACTGGCAGAGGTGGAAGGTGCTTATTTAGATAGTTGTTTAATGAAAAGAGGCCATCCTTTTTTTGTTTGTTTGTTTTTTGTTTTTTGTTTGTTTTTTGCTGCCAAGGAAAAGTCACACAGTGTCTTGTCTTGACTTTAAGTGGAAGTTCACAGGACATTATAGGGCACATCACAGTACTGGAGTGGTGAGACCTCAGGGAGCATTAAATAAGTGAAGTTCAGTGAAGACTGGTGCAGAACTGAGGCATTTTATGCACCTAGGGCCAGAGTTCCTCTTCCAGGTTCCACCCCTTTCCTGAGGCATGGCAGGTCCCTTCAACCGAGGCCCATATCCTGTTGCCTAAGCACAGAACAGAAGGGTAACCCGCATAAGCTTTCCCCACTGGCTCCAGCAGGCTTCCAGTCACTGGATCTATCTTACATTCAGTGCTGGAAGGGGCATGCATCAGGGAATTGGACAGAGCAGGAGTTACCCGTATGCAATTGTCCTTCCGTTCTGCATTTTGGCTTATTGGTTCTGTGCAGTGCAGATGGGCAGCGATGGGGACAATTTCCTGATGAAGGCAGAGGAACACTTTTTTGAAGGAAGCAGACTTGGGAGATGTTGTCAGGAGAGCTCCATTCAGAGGTCCCGGGTTCACGGGGTCTGTTGCTGATAGGCTGAGGCCCAGGAGTGATTTAAACCAGTGTTCTTGGACAAACTGGTCTGGCTGCCCCTTTTTTTCCTCTTGGTTCAAGCCAGGGGCTGACCTGCTGCTCAGGGTTGGAAACGGGGGGAAAACTAATGACAGGCAACATAACTTAACATGCTCTAGTTCCTTTTTTAAAATTGTAATTTCAAGAACCTTTATTGGATTACAACTCCCAGAAAGCAGGTGGAGTATTTTGGGAGTCCTAGTCCTGTTGTTTTCAGCCCAATGCTCAAGCCTATCCAGATCATGTTGAATTTTGTTTCTGTCTTCAGAAATAGAAAAGTGGCACATGCTCATTTTCCACTCTAAACTGTTTCAGTTTTTGCTTTGCTGTGCTAGCTCAACCCAAGGAATGTGAAGGAATTTATATGGCAGATATAATGGCAGATAATAATTACGCCAACATAGGAAAGAGCACAGATACAGAAAGTCATCTACAGCATTCAAAGTCCCTATCTTCTCTTTGTTGACTTGGGCAGAATATCACTAAGCTGAAAGGTCAGACAGTAATCATTTGTTGGTCTGCATTTTCATTCTAGGTGTGCTCCTGGTTACTATGGGAACCCCTTGGTGATTGGCAGTTACTGTAAAAAATGTGATTGCAATGGCAATTCAGATCCTAACCTGATCTTTGAGGATTGCGATGAAGTGACCGGCCAGTGTCGCAACTGCATGCGCAACACCACAGGGTTCAATTGTGAACTCTGTGCTCCTGGTTATTATGGAGATGCCAGAATAACAAACGGTTGTAAAGGTACGGATATGAGGATCACTCTTTGCTTTAAACCAGACATCTATACTGTACCTTCTTGCCTGTCTGCTCTTTCTGGGTTTTAAACAAGCAAGATTGCTCCTATTTTTGTGGCTGTGTGGAAAATATTGTCAGTATACTTTGGATGCAGCATATATGAGTACAGAATTGGGATATAAATAGATAGTTATGGGCATTTATACAATCCAGAAGTGTTGGTTTTGGAAGAAAATGAGTAACTGACTTTGAGGGATTTTGCAACCATGTCCACGATGACTCAACTGGAATATATGAAATCAGAAACAAGCAGCCAGCATGTGAGGAGAGCTGAGATACGTACACTGTCCAAAACTACAACGTGGTCGTGAAGAGTTGTGTGAAAAGGAATAGTAGTGGTCATCCGATAAGGGAGATACGGCATTTTAAGGGGTAAACCACCTTGGGTCCTTTTAAGGAGAAAGGCAGGGTAAAAATATTTTAAATAAATAATAAACCCAGAATGGATAACAATCCTATTTTAATGGCTATTTGATCAGTCCTGGGACCAAATTGTCAGCACAATCACATATTTACATTTTCCTGGATAAGGAATCAATAAAAACCTAGAGTCGGTTCAAAAAGATCAGATTCATCCACACCAACATTCTGTGGCTCAGACCTGATGATACTTTTAGTATGTCATTAGAAATGGCGCTCCCTTAAAAGATCAAAGTCATCTGTTTCTCCTAGCACAGAGGTGAGCAAAATGTATCTCACTGGCAATTTGTATCCTCTTCATATCAATCTGAGCCCGCCTCCACAGGGCCCTCAAGGAGCCAGAATTTTCACCCCCAAATGCCAGAAAAATGCCCTTTCTGCTCTAAAAAGTATCTAGGAGCTGCAGTTCTTGTGCGTGGGGGGGGGAGGGAGTCATGAACGACAAAAAAGTCCTCCAAAGCGACAAAAATCAAAATTTGACATGGACATCTAGTCAGTTCCTGTTTAGGTTTTTCAGTTTGAGGCCATTTCTGAGCCTGGTGTAGCTGGCAGGAAGAGCTGGGGCAAACCTTTGGGCCCACACCCACTGAAACTGCCCACCCTATCCTGGCATGGACCTTGTGCCTGCACATATTGCAGGTAGATTAACACAGATTAGCTTTCTTTTGTTTTGTGTCTCAACGCTGCAAAGCAGGCCCATGGGCTCACTACATCCCTCTGCACCCCATGTGGTCCATAGTCAGACAAGAGCACACAGGCCAGGAGCTACTTTGTCCTGCATCCTTTTGAAGATATTCCTATTCTGTTCATGTCCACATGGGTTACCAAATCCCAGGGGCAGGGGGAGAACCATTCACGAATGGAAGAACATAAAAAGGCTATAAAAGAGCTGGGATTACACTGTGTCATCAGAGTTAGTTCTGGCAGGATTATTTCCCCACTTCCAACCCAGAGAATACACAATGAAAATAGAAGCAAGAGACAGCTGTTAGGATTTTTGGTAGTGATGCGGTGATGAGGAGAAGGAGAGAGAGAAAAAAAGAAAAAGACCCATTGTCCTAAAGTTCTGCCCTAACCACTCAAAATCTAGAAATTCATCCTTGCACATTTGCACATACTTAGAGTGGCGGCAACAGAATACCTGGTGATCTCATTCAGAGACCTTCTCCAGTGTCTCAGCAGTTGAAATGTGCAAGAGACATCTTGGGCTTCATTGCAAGGTGAAGCTGTCAGTCTCATTTTCCTTTGATACTTGATCAACTTTGCAGGAATCCTGTGCCTGTAAGGAAAACATAGTAACATAAAAAATATCAATTTCCCTTCATGGTATTATTCACATCCTTAATGCAAACATAGTAACATAAAAAATATCAATTTCACTTAATGGTATTATTCACATCCTTAATGCTGTCATGTCTGTTTCCTTTCAACAAGCAGGTAGCTTAAACATGGGCACCCATCTCCCCTCATTCCAAACTGGCACCATGGTTCACTGGACCAGTGTAATGTTTACATATCCAGGAACAAGCAAAGGAGATTGGAGATAGAGTTGGTGGGTGTGTGCAGCTGGGTATATCTTGCAGTTTGGAGCAAGGCAGGGAATGGGAATTGCACCCACTTTCACAGTTGGCTGACCTGGCAACCCAAGGCGCTGAGCCTTTTCTCCTCCTATAGTTCCAATCAGAATTGGGCCCTTCAAAGCATTAAAAAGACTAGAGAGAAACTGCAGGGTAGGCCAACCAGCCTAGCTGTGGCAAGCGACACTTCGCCAGACTTCCTCAAAGCCCTGCCTTGTCATTCCTTAGTGGAAGAGCCATCCAAGAGTTTTGGCCGGAACATTTCAGATAAGTCAAAGCTCCACAGCAGTATTTTAGGGGCCAGCTGGTAGAAGAGGAGTAGCACAACTGGAACCCCACATACAATGGAGATGCTTGCAAGATAAATAAATAAACCATCAGAATCCCTTAATTCCTATGGAGGGAAGGTTTCAGAGAAGGAAGCCCGCTAAGGCTTGTCATAGCCCCATAGAAAGAGGGTGAAAGAGAATATCCCATCTTTGAAACAGGCAGGGAGTTTGTCAATAAAATAATTGTTAACACTTGCCTGGAAGTCCAGTTCCTTATTGAGGAAAAAGGATTTGAAGCTTCTTAAAGGCAGCTACATGATAACTTACAAAGAGGCTTGAAGAAAACCATATTCCCTTTTTTGTTTCCATATCAGATAGTCACAGGAACATTCTGTTCCATGAGATGTCATTTTTATGTTATGGCATATATTCAGAAACAGACCTGTCACTGCTTTGGAGGTTGGTTCAGACAGAAACATTTTGCAAAGCTCAGAAAAGGTACTTTTTCGAACTAGCGCTTTCAGAATTCCCTACCCAGAATGGGCATGGTGACAGAGCAATTATGGGAGTTGTCGCCTTTATTTATTTATTTATTATTTTTCCAAGTTCTGCTTTTTCAGTCCATTAGCTGCCCTCTTCTTTATTTTTTTTATCATTGCAACTAAGGCAGATTTGCTTAGGGTGTTAACCATAAAAGGCCTCTGTGTACTTCTTGGTGCTACATTACTCATGCAGTGTATATGTGATGAGCCTTTAAAGCAAGCCATGCTTGGAAAGTAAGCTAATTTTAGAAGCCTTAATAAGACAAACGATCCAGAAGGTTTTACTATGCTTGAAAATGCAAGCTTTTGAATTTCAAAGTGGTAGGTGATTTTTGTGGTTCTTAATCTCTAAAGAAGTAAGTAGTATGGGCAGTATCTCAGCCTGTGAGGTATTTTAAAGGGCCATTATTTTACATTAGCTCTGTGAACAGTACTATGCTGAGTTAAACATGTTGCTGGGAGAGGGGGACTTTGAGCAAAATCCAGAATACTATTACAGGAGTGAACATTTTCAGGTGGAAGAGTAGTGAAATCCAGTTTCAGTTCTTCTGCCCACCTGCAGGAGGAAAGAAGCACAACTTTGAACCATAGCTTGTTTTGTTGTCCCAGAAATAGAGACTCACTATGGAACTTATGGGAGACATGGTGGCACTGTGGGTTAAGCCACAGAAGCCTCTGTGCTGCAGGGTCAGAAGACCAGCAGTTGTAAGATCGAATCCATGTGACGGAGTGAGCTCCCGTCACTTGTCCCAGCTCCTTGCCAACCTAGAAGTTCGAAAGCATGTAAATGTGAGTAGATACTTAGGTACCACCTTGGTGGGAAGGTAACGGTGTTCTGTGTCTAGTCATGCTGGCCACGTGACCACGGAAAATGTATTCAGAAAAAACGCTCGCACTATGGCTTGGAAACGGGGATGAGCACTGCGCCCTAGAGTCGGACACAACTGGACTAAATGTCAAGGGGAACCTTTACCTTTATCTTTTATGGAAATTATAGATTTCTTGAATGTCAGGGGCAACCTTTACCTTTACCTTTTATGGAAATTATAGATTTCTTTACTTCTTCCCACCACCACCGCCCCATAATTTTTTGTATATCATCTAGCTTGCTGAAGAGTATTAGAAAACTTTGCAATGTATGTCTGTGTGTAAGGGACTCGGGGGTTTACAACATTTAAGAACAAGCATGTAAAAATAATAAATCATTAAAAATGATTGAACAAAAATGATTTAAACATATAAAAGTACAGTACAGCAACAACCACTTGCCATTGCAAGTATCCAAATTTAAATGCCAAATGGTGACTTTAAAAGGAATGGTTTCTTTGCTAGTGGAAAGATAGCAAGGAGGGAACCAAACAAATGTCCTGAGACCAAAATGGGGCTCCTCCCCTAATGATGTTAATGCTCATCAGACCTCTTATGAGGAGATTTGGTCTTTTCAATAGCCTGAATTCCAGCTGTTTGCATACACAGACTTGCTATGACATCATGGAATATTCATAAACATTTACAGTCCTCAGTGTACAATGGTGCCAGATAATTTATGGTCCAGATTCTAGAAAGGAAGAGAGGTCATCTTCGACTGAGATTAAAGGCTCACATGGGGCCATTTTGTTAGGCAGACTGAGGACTTGAAAAAAGTTCTAGGAAATGGGACAACAGATGCCTTAGAAATAAAATGGCTGAAGAAAAAGTCTAACATCAGTAGATGACCAAGAAAAGGAAACACAAGATAAGGTTAAGTAAAGCAAAGGGAACTTTCAGAATAGGGTTGGCCGGGGTGTGTGGGTGGGGGGGAAGAGTAAGAAAACAAGAGAGTTGAATAGGATGAATTCTACATACATTTAAAATAAACATGCAGACATTTTATTTCAGGTTTGTTATTTTAAGTGATTGACACAAAGGTCTCCTTTTCTTTCCCTAGCATGCAACTGTGGAGGAGGCCTGTGTGACCGCCGAACAGGGCAATGCTTAGCTGAACCTCCTATACCTCCTCCAGTCACTGACTGCCCGGTTATCAGTAAGAATGGCAATTATATGATGTATTTAATGCACTCCTTTCTCCTTTACAAGAACACCTTTATGTTTGAGGTCATGGACAGAGGTTTATAGTATGATTCTGTGCTTGTTTTCATTCTGTTTTTTTTTTAAAGAGAAATTGCATATGTAATTAGATAGCAAATCCAATAGCTGAACAGCAGGTGTAACAGAACCTGCTGTCAAAACATGACCCAGAATGTTTGTCTGCAATGCATGACATGGAGTCAATGGTCCACATAGTTTCACCCTATGATCATACGAGAGTTCATTTCAGGGCTGGTGTTTCTGGAATGAGGAAAGTCTTGGCAGTCCAGAACCAGCCTATTGTGTTTGGGTCCCAGGATAACAAGGCAACATCAAGAAGATCCCGTCACTGACATCCTTGTGCATCAGAGACCTACTAGGACTTTGTAGGTCCTCAGCCTTGCCATACTGAATGCGACATGCAAGGAACGTCTGTTTGCACTTATTTTACCATGAGTCTCCCAGCTGCAGAGTCTTCCACTTCTCAGTAATTGGACAACAAGCTGGCTGTGATCAGTTCTGTCTTTTAATCCTAATTTTAAGAACAGAAACTGGGAGACATAGAAAACGTTGTGAGTTTGGATGTCTTATTCTAAATTCCTGGCATGTTTGCTGACAATTTTAAACTTACTTTCACAACTGGGAAATAAGGAGAGACCTGAAAAGCAGGAAAGGGTGTGTTTTGCAAGATTCTAAGAAGAACATAATCCCCTTGTTTTTATATTGTTACCAGGCTGTGACAAATGCATTTGGGATTTGACTGATGATATCAGCTTGACAGTTCAGACCATTGAGGAAAGCAAAGCAACTCTGCTCAGCATCTCCACTGGCGTTGCGGCCCATAGACACTTGCACAACCTCAACTCCACCACGTTCATCCTCAAGGTATCAGTGAAGCTCCTGCTCTTCCTTCAGCATTAATACATGGTAAAAGGGAGAGCCTGCTATTCAGAGGCAAAGTAATAATAGGGAAGGAGAAGTTAAAAGCAGTCAAGGAAAGGCAGCACCAGAAGAGATTAGAAAAGAGAATGGGCATGTTCCCACTTTAAATTCTCTCATCTCGAAACTACTATTCTCTCTGTGGGGAGGGGGGTGCAATTAAAGAATATCATATGGGTAGAGGCTATGGTTATAGACTGCAAGGCACCTGAGGCCTGGTTCACACATGCATATTTATTATTGCAGTGGTCATAACATTAAATTAAGTCTTACATGTGTACGTGTGCCATCTGCGAGCAAAAACTGAACAGCCACATCAACCCATACGACAGCAGATACACTGCTTTTGAGGACAGTCATCCCATACATTCAGCTCTCAGTCACAAAATTGGAGTAACAAATTGGTGTGAGAATCAAATAATGGCCATAACGCAGTCACAAAATTGGAGTAACAAATTGGTGAGGATAAAAAATTGGCCATAACATGAATGAGCTGGCTAACAGAATGTAGAGAGTGGATTGTGTTGCACGAAGTTCAAGGAGGTTTCTAATCCCCACTCTCCCACTATACTTACTAGAAATATGCCATTTGGATTTTTTAAACTCCTGGAATTCTCCAAGGATTTCCCTAGCAGAATTCAGAGAGATCCAACCCCACAGACACATACCTATATTTTGTTCACCTAGAAGAAAGCCAACTGGAACACTCTGTAGCCTAGTGTTTAATGAGCAGTGAGACTTCACCTCCCAGAAAGCCCTAGGTAGGTAGGTCATTGAGTCATAGGTAGCACCAAGGTAGCTTCCTTTTTAAACAGGAAACTAAGCTGGAACTAGGCTTTTTACCAGGTGAGCGGTGTGTCTGTGTAGTTATATGGGAAATCTGCTGCAGGAATTCTTGGAGAATTCTAGGGGTTGGAGCCCCCCCAAAATCAAAATGACATATTCCTAATGCTTAGTTGATGACTTTAGGTTGACCCTTCTCTTATAGCCTAACACACTCCCCTGAGTCATTATAATCAGAGACAAAGAGGAGATGAGGGGAAACCATGTTTGATTTCTTAGAGGTAAAATAGGAGGAAATGCCACTGACTTCTTGGTTATAGATGCTTCTTAATGAAACAGATTATTTAGATGCATTTCAGACCAAGGTTTAGGTTTAATTTTAGAACCAAGATGGCCACGGTCATCTTAGTGGATGACCTGTACTAATTCTGCCAGACCTCTTAATGGCTTTCAGTGTCATAGATTGTAGTCTGTTCTTAACCTTCTAGCACGGATGGGACTTCAGTTCTACCAGGAGTACTAGAGAGAGAGACATTTAAGACTATGACATTCGCAACTTATACACACATATCTGAGTGTTCCATCTTGTTTATCATATTGCCTAACATCTACATTAAACCAATGGGAAGGTCACTCAGCATTTCTGTATTCAAGGACACCTAAATGTATTTCTATTTTCGGTTTTATTTTATGGAGGCTACCATGATCCTGAATCATTGCCTGGAAGTGGAACTGCCCATCTCAGAGCCAGGGATAGAAAAAATAGATGGCTCCGGAGAGTTATGTGTAGCAGTGATAGCTCCTGAGAAAAGCAGGGCCCCTCCTAGATGTTCTACCACCTTGAGGCAACCATCTCACACTCTGCCTCGTGGTAGGGCCAGGCCTGCTTTTGAAATAAGATTCAGACTAAATATTTTAAAATAAATGGTTAATGTGGATTTGTTGGTGTGACCAGCCTATACGCAGGCTTGCCACTTCTCAAATGTCCTTCCTTTAAAAAAGGCTTGTCTTCAGTTATCAAAATATGAACTTAAGTGGTTTAAAAATGGAAAAAAAAGATGTCCTTTATTACAATGTATCAACTGGTAAAGTAAACAGAGTTCAACGTAAGTTCTTCTTAAGTTACATCCCACTGCTGAAATACAACCTCCCTCTCCAGATACAAACTACTGTAACTTCTCTCTCTTCTCTCCAGCTCTTTTAGCTCCACCTCCTGCAGGCTCTCTTGGATAGGCTCACCTCCTGCATTCCCCCAGCCAATCATCTTATTTCTTGTTACCAGGCCAAATTGGCTATGGTTCCATCACAGTTGTGAAGGAGCAGGACACCATGTAAATGTGGGAGAGAGAGACTATGGTAACATGCTCTGAATGGAGGAGTGTCCTCTCCAGAGCATGAAGCCCGGGTAAGGTAATATGGAGGATAGGCTGTTACCCAAGCAGCAGATCCCCCCTCTCCACATTGCTGAAATGGTCCAATGGAAAGGCAAGAGCCAATACAACTGGTTCCAGCAATGTTGCAGGAGTTGGCAGAACGACACATGCTGCCTTCGGGACTCCAGCTCCGGATTTTGCCTCGAGGTTAACTCCTGAAGCCTTTTCCATGAGTGGATATAGCCACAAGGCAGTGGAGGTTTGAAATTGGAGTTTTCCTTCTCTAAATGTGGGAGAAATGGCTTCTGTTAAATGCAAAAGTTCACCTTAAATGGCATAGTAGCTGCAGATGTGGGTTGACAGTTCACACCATCCTTCTCATCCTAGCATGCTGTTTCTGCTTGGCAACTAGGTTGTGTGTAACTGGCCTGAAGAGAAAGCTGTTTGCATTATCATGCTTGTTGATTCTCTATATAGTGCATCAGCAAACTCTGGCAGGTGCTATGACCATTTTCATTTTTACGGGGGTTGTACAAAGAGGTATGCAGAGTGGCATGTGTAGTATGAAAAGGAAAAAAAAAACAAGGCTAGGCCAGGAATGTGAGGCTTCTCTTAAGACAATAGGACAGATTCCCTGGGAATCTCTACAATCTTCTCCCATTGAAATGTTTATTGAACCACTAAATAAGCATCCCAGGGATGATTTGGAACTTGTAACTCCTACCTCATTGCAGTAGTTGCTCCAGCTGCCCTGCAAGGGTTCTTTCAGTAAATCCGGTATTCTTATGAGGATTGCTCATTAAAATTTGGATTTTTAAGAAAGTTCGTTTGCAAGTGCACTTGATGGAGATGCTTGGTTTAAAGAAGCGGAACAAAACAAAACAAAAACCACTGACCTTTCCAAAACTATTTTACATACAGGCAAAATTGTCAGAGAAAGATAACCATTCTGTACTGATGAAGACCCAGGTGGATAATGCCACAAGTGAAATGACTGGTCTTCTCAAAGACATCAACACACTCGATGAAAAGGTGGGTCTGTCATTTGCCTTCTTCATTTCATTCCTTTTCCAAAAAGTCCTGGTATTAAATTTGACAATCTGGACAGAAAGATGGCTTAGTGTTACCAGTATAGACATGTGAAAAGTTGTACCTACTTAGATTATTTCCTTGAACCATATGATCATCATGCAAGCCTTCCTCTAGGTGCCCCAGCCAGATGAAGCTAGGCAGGTAGTTATGAGAGATTCTCTTCCTGTAGTGGTACCCCGTAGATGAAATGCTGTCCACAGAGGGGTTCACCTGATGCCTAGATTATGGCTTTTATTTTCCAAGAGACTTTAAGAAAGAGATAAATGATCTCAGTGGGACCAAGGATTTTTTGATTTTTCCATCAGCCAAAGGGCTCCATTTCTCAGAAGGATAGATGTGGCCAAAGAAGCTAATTTGTATGTTTCATTTTATTGTTGCTGCTGCTACTATAACTACAATGGGCTTTTGTTTATTTGAAAAGTGGGTTTGGTTATAAAAGTTTTGTTTTACTCAAAAAAACCTTGCATGTCCAAATTAATCGTAAAAATAAACTTCTGGATGGCTCAGTGCTTTAGGTATCTGCCCATAGGTTGGAAGTTCGATTTCCCACTGTGGGCCTCTCTTTAAGAGGTGTTGGACTGGATCATCCATAGGGTCCCTTCCAGCTCTGCAGTTCCAAGATGATAATAATTATGTTTTTAAAAGGGAGTATGTGGGAGTCAGTAGTGCAGCGGGGCATGAAAACATGGCTAAACTGGGCGCAATGCTCACTAACAGGAACAAGGGGACTCTTCAATACCTCCCAAAAAAGTTGAATAACAATGTGGTATTGGCAGCTAGGGGCCTCCCAGGGGTGCTTGGAGTATTTGGAAAAATTCCCATGGGTGCCCTATGTTGCCCGTTCCTGTTTTAAGGGCAGTTTCAGTGGCTTTAGTCTCTTGCACTATTCTACTTCCTCTTCAACTGTGGTTTTAGTCCATGCTAAACTGTATTTATGCCCTGCTGTTGATTTTATCATGTGCTATTTTATTGTGATTTCATATCTGATGCTTCCAACGTCTAAGTTATCCGAAAAACTTTGGTTGCTGCATGTACTAAAAATATAATTCGTAATAGTTAATTGCATTTTAGGACAGTATTCGATGGGTAACTGACTTGAAAAGTATCAACTGTGACTAAGAAAGAGGAAAATCTCTGTGCTAAGTTTTAAGTAAATATAGTCACATATGAATTTGAGGCAGAGGTTTTTCTGCCGGCTAGCTTGGAATCGTTTGAAATCACTTAAAGCCAGCCAGACATGTGGGGTTTATATCAATGATTTTAAACCATCCTGGAGTGTTGAAAAGTAACTTCTTTGGCCTGCAGCTCTCAAAGGTTTTGGCTGTTGTAGTCCTAAACAACAACTTTTTACCATTGCAAACAAATCAACAGCAAACTAACAAACATGGCTGCCTTCAACAGACTAAAGAGAGGGAAAGAGATTCAGAGCAGAGAAGTGGAACTCTCTTTTAATTCAGAGGCAGGAGAGAATCAATTGGTTAGTTCTGGCTAGCTTGATGGTCACCCCAGGCTGGAAAGGTTCCTCCCACCCACAGCTTCTTCAGGCAGCATGTAGGATTGTAAAAACTTCATAATATATGTAACTTTAGAATAAACTTTAAAAGGTTGAGATGGCAGTTGGAAGGAAAGAGACTCTGGATAGCCACAGCCAGCTAACTAGGAATGCATCTGACTCAATCTAAGGACTTCTTTTGAATCTTCTTTGCTCGTGTATTATTTCTTTGATACAACATTTTTCCCATAATACAAATACAGCATGCCTACTTCAATTTCTCCTTTCCACTGATTACACTAATCAAGTTGAAAGCAATCCAACTGTTCTCTTTTAGTCATTGCAAGCAGTAATGATTGGTCATGAAAGCTTTCATAACATTTTCATTAGCATGATTAGAGATACTTCAAAGTCTTCTTCATGCTCACTGTTTAACAAATGGCTTCTCAAGTATCTGATGCATGGGGGCCTCTCTTTGGCATTCAGGCTCTCTGTTGACACAGTTGTTATCATTAATACCTTACCCAGTCAGTAGCAGATATTTAATAATTTCTGGTAGATATGACCTGACGAAGCATATTTTGCAGGTCACATAAGGCTCAGTTTTGAGTGGTGTGATTTTTTATGATGTAAAAGCCACAGTAGCACTAGCCTTCTTAGAGAACACCTGAGATGCTCAGCCACAAAGAAGGAGACTATAGAATGGCTTTTGCCAGCCTGCACTACCAATGGCCCCAGTTTTGAGAGAGACTACATTTCCTTGGGAAAGAAATGTTTTACAAATTCCATGTGTTCTGGGCTTCTCTGGACAGCACAAGAAAAAACTGTGTTTCTAGTAGCTTCTGTTACATAAAAAATATTTTATTTTATTTAAATTTATACCCTGCCCACCTAGTGGACAAGCCACTACTCTAGGGAATTGAGAATGGCCTTAGAATAAAAGTTATTAAATCCAGTTTAGAGTTCTGTTCATATGGTCAATAAGCATGAGCTGAATGAAATACAAGATGGTAGTATTTCCAAACCACTGTCGAGAGCAGTTGAGGAATATGGTTGGGTAAAAGAAATGTCAGAACAAGCTAGGAAACTGTAACTGATCCATCAAAAGAGATCAGTATATTGACCCCTATGCCTTGAGAAACTCAGTAAGGACTCACTAACAGTTCACTGTTTTTCTGTAAAGTTTCCTATCTTTGCAGCTTCTTGGGATTTGGGGAATACAGGTTTCTGGTGAAGCTTTCTGCTTAATTGTAGCAGAGAAACTGACTGTTACTCAGATAAAAATACACAGGATATAGTTATGCAATTATTGGAAGACAATCAACCCTATGTTACCAACATTGTGGCATTATTCACTGCAGCTGCTAGGAAACTACATGCTTGTTTTGTTAGTGATTTCAGTAGTTCTTAACTATTCATTTTAATGAGTGTTGACATTATCTGTTCTATGGACAGTCTGTTAAAGTCCAAAAATGGCTCCAAAGCAGACTGTGTGCCTTGTATCTTACTTCAGGTTATTTTAATTCTACTGGACAGAAGAAGAAGAAAATCCATAGTAAAACTGAAGGTATACTCTCAGTTTTGAGCCATTAAACATCTTAACAAATGAAATCAGGTGTATGTGCATATAAATATTTCTATTTCTTCAAGTTGAATCCACCTGGAAGCGCCAATGAGCAATACCTGAGTTGGCATGCAGAAAAGTGGGCTATAAATCAGTTAATCTTTAGCTGCATAGGCTAAGAATGTTTGCTCAGACTCAATAAACTGATTCTACAAAAGTATTAAAATAGCAAAATGTGATGAGTTCTGTGGTTTGATGCCACTTTAATAAGAGAAGGCTTAGATTAGTAAATAATATGTCTCAAGATCCTTCTGTGAACAAGGACAGAGACAAGAAAGACATTTATGAAAATTCCAAAGGCAGTAAGGATGTAATTTTTAAATTAAAATTGTAATGAACTTTCAAAAAGTATTCCTTCTTATAATTAAGCAAACTGTCACATGTGCACATAAGAAGTCTCTTACTGGTGGTGTATGTTTACAAAAGCATAGTGTTAGTCTTTAACATTGCCACAAGATTCTTTGTTGTTTTTGCTACAAAAGACTAATACAGCTGCTTCCTGGAAAATATTTATTCTGAATGTCTTCTCATAATCACAGAAGGAACTTCTCTGGCCTATTTATCTTACAGTGAAGTGGAACTGCCTCCACAAATTGCATTAATTCTACTGTTAATTGCTACTGGTCTGGCACTGTGACCAACCATCAAACTCGAGGTAGTCAGACCAGCCGTCCCTCCACTCTAAATCTGGTGTTGCTGAACGCCAGGTCTGTATCCAGCAAATCCCACATTATTCAAGACCTGGAGGAGGATGCAGACCTGGCATGCATAACCAAAACTTGGATGGGCGGGGAAGGGGGTATTCCGTTGACTCTTGCCTGCCCTCCAGGTTATGCAGTCCAACACCAGGTTAGACTGGAGGGGGGGGAGTAGCTATTGTCTATAAAAACACTCTAGAGGTTGTTAGGCACTCTGCGATGGTGATGCCCTTGAAGCCCTGCATGTGTCGATTGGGGCCAGGGATGGTATTGGGATTATGCTGGGTTACCACGCTCTCCACGACCTAGCCTTTTCCTTACCGGAGCTAGCAGACTTAGTCTCCACAAGACTGTTGGAATCTTCAAGGCTTCTGGTCTTGGGTGATTTCAACATCCATGCAGAAGCGGACGTTTCTGGTCTGGCTCTTGAGTTCTTTGAAACCATGGCTTCCTTGGACACGTTCCAACATGTCAATGGCCCCACCCACATGGGCAGTCACACGTTAGACTTGGTGTTTCCCCCCGAGCAGAGTGAGCATGGTCTGGTGGTGACTGACCTTGTGTCAGTCCCCTTGTCATGGTTGGATCACCACCTAGTCAAATGCAACCTCTCAATGGCTCTCCCTCCCTGCAGGGAGCAAGGACTTATTTTAATGGTCCACTCTTGAAGGTTACCGGATCCTGTAGGATTCCAGGATTCCATGAGAGGGATTCCAGCTGATCTGACTGGCACTGCTGTCGAGACTCTGGTTGATGGCTGGCTTGCCGCCATTACCAGAGCTGTTGACACGATCTCTCCTAAATGCCCTCTACATTGCAGAGCTCGTTCAGCACCCTGGTTTAACCAGCAGCTGCGAGCTATGAAGCAGAACAGGAGAAGGCTAGAGTGCAACTGAAGACAAAACCTGATGGATTATAATCAGAAAGCTGTCAAGATCACGACTGTACTTTACCTTACCAGGGTGAGGGCTGCCAGTCGAGCTTACTTCGCTGTCCAGATAAGCAAAGCTTCAAATCAGCAGGCAGAACTTTTCTGCGATCTATCCAAAATTGCTCTCAGTGATAGGCCTCCCACTAGTATTTCAACTGAACAAATTGCAGCAATTTTTAAATCTAAAGTGGAGGCCATCTGCCAAGATCTTTCTCCTCTTTTGAATACAGTAGATCAAGCAGAGATGTCCAGTGCTCTGCCTTGGCCAATGAGACTTAATCTGTTTCAGACCGTGACGCCAGACATGGTGGACAAGGTGCTTAATTGCTGTCGTGCCACCACCTCCTCCCTTGACCCTTGCCCAGCTTGGCTAATCAAAGCAGCCAGGCCTATAACAACTGAATGGGCCACTGCAATAACTAATAGGTCTCTCCAGGAGGGAGACACTCATTAGGCCCATTAGGAAGAAACTAAGTTTGGTGGCAGACAACATTGGCAATTATAGACCCATCAACAATGTTTCTTTCCTCGGCAAAGTGGTAAAGAGGGTGCTGGCTGACCAGCTCCAGGCCCTTTTGGATGAAACCAACCCCTGGATTCATTTCAGTCAGGCTTCAGGCCATGCCATGGTATGGAAACTGCATTGGTCACCCTGTTTGATGACCTGCTGAGGTAGGCTGACGGGGCAAAATATCTCTGTTGGTACTTCTCAATATCTCAGTCGCCTTTGATACTGTCGACCATGGTATCCTTCTGGTGAGGCTCTCTGAGCTAGGGATTGGTGGTCTGGCACTTGTCTGGCTCCGATCGTTCTTGGAGGACCGTCCACAGAGAGTACAGCTTCAGCAGAGTGTATCGGCTCCATGGAGTCTCGTTTCCGCATTGATTTAAAAGTATTAATGATGACATATAAAGCCCTAAACAGTTTAGGACCTCAATATCTAGCAGAACACCTTCTCCCACCTAGATCTACCCGAATCACTCGC